TGAGGAGAATTGTATCACGCACACACATATGGTTACTACAAACCGGTTCCTTTCAAGGATACGCCTTGGCAATCGACCTTCGGCTCGAAAAGAGGATTTGGCGGTGGAAAAGCCCAGCCCACGTTACTGAAGTTTTCCCGAAAAATCAGTTTGCAGGCTTAAGTCAACCATTGCTTTTTTGATTGGATTTTTCAGTTTCAAACATTGTTCCATCATTATCAGTAAACGGTTCCAACGTGTTTTAGAATCTAATATTAAAATATGTTCTGTTTTATTTTCAGTTAGTATATATTTCTGTGATTCTTTTAATGATGTTTTGGAGTCTGTTTAAATCTGTTTTGTGTTGTGGGTGTCTGATGTACTGCCAGATTTTTCTGACTTCGTTACGCTCTTTAAATAGCTGTTTAAGCTCGCCCTGAACAAAAGGCTTCTCCGAGTGGTAGATCGCCTTAGAGGCACTGACGTGAGCATTTAATATTTCGTCAGAGAGATTGCAGACTTGGGAGTCAATCTCGTGGGTATAATTAGCAGTAGGTAGGTCGAAATTTTCAGGATTTGCAAGAATTTTGGTCAAAATACTCCAAGTAATATTTAATTGGGGAGGGGGAATTCCAAGATTGGAATTTTTTGGGAAATACAAATTATAATGGGATTATGATCAGAACTTAATTCCGGAGTGGAGTCAATTGTACATGGCCAATTTAGATTTTTAACTAGAGCGTAATCAATAGTTGAAGCAGAGTCAGTGCCATATGTAGTTGAGGTGGGGAGAGTAATGACATCAATATGGTTATTAATAATATAACTCATTAAATTATTACCTCTGGGGTCGCTACTAGAGTAGCGCATGTTTAGCATTATAATCGCCAACAAGAATGGCCGTTTTAAAAATTTTGAAAAAAGTGTCGAGGTCGGCACACTTGGGTTTCTGCAATTTTGATAAGGTGGGATATAGAGAGGCAACCAAGAAGGATCCCCGATTTAATGGGATGAGCGCAACGAAAGTTGCTTCTACACCTGTAAGGAGGGGTGGAGTGGGAACATGACACTGGAAAATAGATCTTTTAATGAGGACCGCAGTTCCACTCCAGCCTCTGGCTGAGTGGGTTCTGCCGTTTCTGTAGCAAATATAATTTGGGATAGTAAGAGAATATTCTGGTCTCAGATGCGTTTTCTGTGTTAAAAAGATATCAGGGGAATGTTTATCGACGAAATTGCGTATCTCAACAATACACAATCTCACTCCGTCTGCGTTCCAAGAGAATATTGTACCGGAAAGGCAATTACACATCATCAGTGGCGCACACAAGGGGGAGGGGGCCTTGGGGTCCGGACCCTTCCCCCCCCAAAACCCTTGATTTTTTTCCCCAATTGATTGTAATTCTAAGTAAATAGTACGTAGAATTTAATTAAATATTTATGATTAATTTTACTAATTAATGCTAATTATTTATTCAATAATTAGTTTTTTGCTGTTTTTTGTTCCTGAAAATCGACAAAATCAAAAGGAGCATGATACAAGGGCAGACTTTTGACCCTGGACCCCCTTGAAAAATTATTGTGTGCGCTACTGCCCCTCATTAATAGTTATCCGGGAGAGTGAGGAGCAGATCCTTTTAGCGGACAGCTGAGCTTATCTACCGGATTAGGATTAATATGGTATCCGTCTACGTTCAGAACAGTGATTTTGTAAAAGCGCATAGATGGATAATTTTCATATTTAGTGTCACTTAGATTAGAATACATGTAAACAATTATTTAAACACAATATTTGGGCAAAAAATTAACTTAGAATATTTTTTTAAAATGTTCTCCTTTTGTGAAAAATGCTTCTATTATAATAATATTTTGCCAGTATATAGCTCAGACCTCTCTACAGAGGCTCAACTAGAATTTTTGAAATATCTAACTTAGAAGTGGGTTTATCCATATTTTACGACAACAGAGGGGAGGAATTTTAAAAAAGGAACACCAATAATTATTTCAATTGTTGGTAACTGGGAAAATAATGTGAATTTTTCAAAAAGTCTAGTTGAGCCTCTGTAGAGAGGTTTGAGCTAACTACAGGCAAAATATTATTATAATAGAAGCATTTTTCACAAAAGGAGAACATTTTGAAAAAAGATTATTCTAAGTAACTTTTTTGCCAAAATATTGTATTTAAATAATTTTTTTTTTTTTTTTTTTTGTCAAAATGTGTGTCCTTAAACAATTTTATACATGTATTTCAGTCTAAGTGACACTTAATATGAAAATTATCCATTTATGTGCTTTTGCAAAATCACGGTTCCGAACGTAGTCGGATACCTTAAAGAATTTTTCCATTTCGCTTAAGAGTGATGGAAAAAGATCGAATACCTTTTTCATTTCCATGATTGCTTGGAGAAAAGTGAATTCTCCAGATTGACTTTGGGTAGCTTTCACACAATACTTCTAGTGAAATATCATTCTCATTGCTGTTTTTATCACAACCAGACTCTGAGGGAACGTTCCCACGTGCTGCCATCTGTTGAGTTATTTTTAAAAGCTTGAGCAAAACTCAAGCCGGCTCAATTAGAGCTGCATTGCCCTGGGTAATTTCGTTGTGCTTCCTATTTTATTACAAGCTTTTATTTAACTTGTAATGTAAAATGTCCGGGTGGAATCTTGCAACAAAATTTTGAAGCTGATGTCTTCAACCGATTGAGCTGAAATTTTGTATACGCGTTTAGTTTGGAAGACAATGCATGTTTTGACCATTTATATTCCGATATCGCAATTAGTTAAAAAGATATTAATTAAAGTAATTTGTTCGGGTGTAATCTTGCAACTCAATTTTGAAGCTGGTGTCTTGAACCGATTGAGCTGAAATTTTGTATACACGTTTAGTTGAGATGACAATGCATGTTTTGACGATTTATATTCCGAAATCGACCTAGTTACTGTAACGAACTTGTTCAGGTGTTAAGGAGAGCATGTTTACAATAACACGGGTGTCGACCAGGAGCGCTCGCTTAGCACGTGAGAGGTACGGGGATGGATATCCCACGCCTCCAAATATTATTTTTTCATGTAAAACATTTTTGAAATTCGTTTGATTTGTACAACGAGATATCATACAATACTTCCACTCTGTATACGTACAAAGTATGCTATATTTTACAAGCTTTTATTCAACTTGCAATGTAAAATGCTCGGGTGGAATCTTGCAACTCAATTTCGAAGTTGATGTCTTCAACCGATTGAGCTGAAATTTTGTATACAAGTTTAGTTTAGATGACAATGCATGTTTTGACGATTTATATTCCGAAATCGACCTAGTTACTGTAACGATCTCGTTCAAGTTTTAAGGCGAGCATGTTTACAGTAACACAGGTGTCGACAGGGGGCGTAGCTCAGATAGTAAAGCGCTCGCTTAGCATGTGAGAGGTACGGGGATCGGTACCCCACGCCTCCAATATTTATTTTCTTCGAGTAAAATATTTTTGAAATTCATTTTATTTGTACAATGGGATATTTTACAATACTTCCACTCAGCATACGTACAAAGTATGTTATATTTTTACTGTTCTAGAGGGAACACTAAGAAAGGCAGACATATCAAGCTATTTCTATTTACTTTGAAACATTCTATATTTGTTTACTCAATTCTAGTTTGTCCCGTAACACTTTTAATTGAATTAGTCACTGTAACGATCTTATTCGGGTGTTAAGGCGAGCATGTTTACAATAACACGGGTGTCGACCGGGAGCGTAGCTCAGATGGTAGAGCTCTCGTTTAGCACGCGACAGGTACGGGGATGGATACCTCACGCCTTCAAATATTATTTTTTCATGTAAAACATTTTTGAAATTCGTTTGATTTGTACAACGAGATATTTTACAATACTTACACTCTGTATACGTACAAAGTATGCTATATTTTACAAGCTTTTATTTAACTTGCAATGTAAAATGCTCGGATGAATCCTGCAAATCAATTTCGAAGCTGATGTCTTCAACCGATTGAGCTGAAATTTTGTATACACGTTTAGTTTGGATGACAATGCATGTTTTGATGATTTATAATCCCATATCGCAATTAGTTAAAAAGATATTAATTAAAAACCTTTTACCCCTGTTAGCTTTTTATTCTGCCCAGCAACTTATCGGGCTGAGCTTAAAGAAGTTCCGATTTTTCGACCTTTTTTCAAAAGCCGTCTTATTCTTTATATCAAACTGAGACAAAATATAATTACCTAATCGGAAAAATCATTTATTTCGCTTTCTATAATTCTTTTTAAAAAATAATTAATTTTCTTTTTACAATTTTTTCTAAAATGAGTCAAAATCAATGCGTTTTCATGAAAATGATTTTTAAATCATTCCGTATGAACTTTTTTTTTCATGTTGTTGAATCGACATTCTGCACTAAGAAAGTTCAGGCTTTTCTCTTTTAGAAACAGTTATTTAAAAAATAAAACGCCTAAAACTTTTTTTTTACGATTTTTCAAAAAATACTTAAAATTTTTAATAAAACATTTAGAAATTCCGTCATTTTCAAATATAATCGCACGAAAATATTTTTTCGTTTGTATCCGAATTCTGCACAAAAATCGAAAAAATTTGGTTTAAAATTATGGATTTAAAAAAAATGTGTTTTTTTCGTTTTTAATATAGTATTATAGTAAAAGCAAAAAAAAAAGTTTGATATTTTAATTAATTTTGCTTTCTCCAATGTCTAACAGTATTTATCCTCCCCCTTTGCATTATCCTCTTGTTGCGGGCCGAGTAAACTATCATATATATGTGGCCTCTGGCGGGAAACAAAGTTGAGTACTGTTCAAAATTAACCGGCAAATGACCTTGCAACAATAATGCGTTGAATGAGATTAATAGACTGAGAAACTTCTGTCCAACGATAACTACAAAGTAAAAAATAAATTAAAAGTAAAAAAAAAAACTTTCTTAAAAACAAGCTTTTATTTAAATGCTGTAAAAAGAATTAAAAATATTTTTCTTTTAAAACTTTTTTTTGCTATCAACTTATAAAGTCGTTACACAATTTATGATATAAAAGCTTGTCGCGAGATTTACCTGTGTAGATAAACAAGCAAATTATATATCTTGATCTGATTGATTTTAATTTTTAAAATTTTCAAACTAAGTAAATACGAGTACTTAAATCTCGCGACAAGCTTTTATATCATAAATTGTGGAAAGACTTTATAAATTGATAGCAAAAATTTTTTAAAAGAAAAGTATTTTTTATTCTTTTTAGAGCATTTAAGGGGACGGTGGACCATTAAAAATAATATCTTAAATTGTTAGCTTAATTAGCTAAAAATGGAATCAATATCGTAAATGATTGTTATATTTCACAA